CATCATTACCATCATCTCCATCACCATCATCATCATCACCATAATCATCACCATCACCATTACCACCGTCATCATCATCACCAATCATCATAGCAATAATCTTTGTCTACCAACTTACAACTGTTCTCTTTCTTTGCTCACACCACAGGTAACCCATTCGTTAACCCAACAGTGATCCAGATCTACCAACCATCAAACCCAGACCAGACCAACATAGAAAATAGTGACCGTGTCATGTTCTTCTCGTACGGCAGAAGAGAACCATTCTATAAACTGGTTCTGAAGGGAAACTCTAATGGAAGGTAACAGCTGAATCCATATACAAGTCAAAAGTCCCATCCCCCTCCCCCAGGGACTTTTGACTCGTAACCAATCTTCCTTGGCCAATTGACACGGACAGCCAGACAGACAGTGACCAAGGGAAATGGAGGGACTGCTCGCAGTCATCCAGCTGATCTGAAGATGTCGAAATGACATCACTGCAAAACCAAGGTTTCATGAAGTCTGTGAAAATAAACCTTTTTACTCATAAGGTTGCCATCTTGAACTGCGAGATGCCGAGGGGATATGGAAAATTCTTTGTAACTTCATGATTTAGCTGCACTCAAGCTATGGAATTTTTTGGGGTCATTCAAGGGTCATTCAGCTTACCCCTTGTAGAATCAATACTGAGAATATTTTAAGACGGGTTATACCAAGAGGAAATGGACTAGCTCATATTCTCTTGAAGAGATAACTAGCTAAAAACTAGTGTGAGCTGCGTCGGTGTTTCTAATGAAACAGTAATCATGATAAACGACGAAGGAGTAGCGTCCGAAACGTCAGTAAGTTTTTTCATCTTTTCACGGTGTAAAATTTACCTTTTTATCATTACTGTTTCATATTCTCTTGGTTATAATGTAGGTACTTTAATTTCTTTTACTTTTGTCTAAACTCGTATTTTCCCATTTTAGCATCACAGTGTGGAAAATTGATGGTGAAATGTTGAAAACAAAAAACTTAGAAGCAAAGACTACAGGTAAACATAAAAAACGTAGTCATGTACAATGTAACCTCTTGTATCTGCAAACTTACTTAAACTTGTATTTTACAACCATCACTCTAAGAGGCTCTTCCTTGAGGTTTGTTCCACAGGCACTACCACTACATTTGGGGGGCTTGAGCGAATTTTGCGGGRAAAAAATATTAAAGAACATGCTTTCTATTCCACTTCAAAAAACATAACCAACGTCCTGAGGTTTTTTGAGGTTCTTCATTTCTATCTTAGGGCTTTCACTTAGAATTTAGACTAACTCTATTGTAAATATCCCAGTTGGTGATACAACAACAAAAGAAACCAAGTTTTTAGATTTTAGATAGACCAAGATTTTGAAATGCTTTGAATATTTCTGTTGTTTCCACAGGTACCCCACCGACACTGGAATGCCGTATACAAGATTGTTGGGACACGTTCTGCACACCCTGTGGACTCATTGACTCACTGGTAATATACTTGAACAATGAGTTCTTAGCTAAATCTTAAAGCAGCAAAGAGAGAAATTAATGAATAAATAAGGAGGGAATAAAGGAAAGAGAGGAAAAGAGGAAGGAAGGAAGGAGGGAGGGAGGGAGGGAGGGA